TTAATGAAATTTGTAAACATCTGAACAAAGTGTAAGGTCTATTTGCAACAAAGTAATAAACAAAAGACGTATATTTTATGTACTACTAGGTATAATTACTAAGAAAACTTTATAAATTAATGAGCAATAAGAAACAGTCTAAGTTAACTCAAACTCAAAAAATATTAATTTCAGAAAATTGATTGAAAACGTGTTTTACGAGTATATACTTATTATTGTCCGTGTTGGGGCTGCCCCGCTTCTGCAGTGCTTCGGGCATGTTTGCGGAAGCTCAAACCTACTGCTTCCATACCACCATGCGCAAACGGTGCGCGACATTGATCCGCAGGGTGCGGGACAGCTCTAATTCCCTAGACTTCCCTTCCCTAAGACTAGATTGCCCTTATTTGCGACATTGTTATAACAGGGACTCAAAATAGTAATTTCGTCTTCACTTTCAGTTTAATTAAACATAAGTGCAAAATGTACAGTGAATTAATTGAATAAATTGAAATAATAAAAATTAAATTAAACTTAATAAGAATAATATCATGAATGAATGTAATATTTATTTTCTCTTTTGTTTATTTTATGTATGTGTTATGATGATGGAAATGTCACTAATGATCTACGAGTAATTTTAATTTGATAAATTGTAATGTGATTTAATTTATTAGTATGGTAATGATGCCAATAATTATATTATGAATGAATGTGTACTGAGTTGCGACATAATATAGGTTGTAATTGGTACCTGAAATAAAAGTATTTTATTTATTGCCTTACCTGCTACCTGCCCGAAACGACCTATTCACAATTTGGTGGCTAACAGTGAAGACAAAAGCTTCCTAAACAGTTTTGTATGTTTTAATTTAGTTTGTGCGAAATGTCGGTAAACAGTTTTTGTTTCTAAAGAAATATTGAAAGCATTGAAATCACTTTTTAATAATCTACCCGCATCGTCGTCGTTTTGTTAACAACTGGTCTTAAGAACGGGTTAATACTAATGATACTAAGAAAGACTACATTTTTTATAGAACCTATTATCTCTATCTTTATCAATTATGTTTCAATAGTTCTACGAAAAAAATGCACACACAACAATGAAAATAACTGTATCGTATTCAAAGTTTGAGAATTTTCAACATTACTAAGCAAATACATCATCATCATCATCATCAACAGCCTTTAACAGTGCACTGCTGGACACCAGCCACTCCTTAGAAAAGAGGTTTTGGCCTACTAAGTATACCACGCTGGCCAGACGGGTTGTTATAGGGTTTGTGTCAAGTTTTCCTTCTCTTTGCAGTGTTGTTGTCCTGCATAGTCCTGTCCTGAGGTTTTATGTTTAGCATAATTCCTAGTCGCCGCAGAAAAAAAAGGAATGACCAATCTGAATCATTATATTTTACGCAGTACATGTACATGTTCCTTTTCTCCTAATGTCTAATGTAGGTACGAGGTTAGTGGCTAAATAATTTAACTAATACAAAGAATTTATGATAACTAATAGTGCTCGTAGAATTAATGTAAGTACATATGTTGAACCGTACGAGTAGGTATTATCTTTTACCAATTATTACCTAAACCGTTTAATGTCACTAAAAATCCTAATTAAGTAATTACCAAAAAAAATACGTGATTAACTAATGATTTCTATTTATTTTAATAAGTCGATTTAATTAAGAGTCCATACAATTTCAATGACTCATAAGTATGCAATTAGTAAGTGTTTATACATCGAAAAAGACATGTTTGTTGATGTAAATTTTAATAGATTTTTCTTGGCAATGGAGCTAAATTAATTTTACTCGCAAATCTGGAATTTGGTGTACCTGACTTAAAATTACAGATCTGTGTCAATGTATTAAAAATGAAAATGTATTTAACCTATAATATTTTAAATGCCATGCCATAGACAATACGAGTAGAAGCTATTTTAGATATTTTCTATAACAATTGTAAGTCTTTACTTAACTTATTACAGTCGTATAGGTATGTGTCTACCTCACAGGTTATTCGAGTAAGAATTATTTTTCCAATTACAGGTTTTATCTGTTGTTACGCCTACGACTTTTACTCTTAATTTAATAGTAACCTCTTAAATCTCTTGGCTACCTGGCTAATTCTTAGGAAGGCTATTAATAATGATTCAATGCTTTTACAAAAGCGACTTCAAGAAGAAAGTGACACACGCACACATACATACTGAAATATAAAGACATGTTATAGATAACGTGAAGCATCGTTGTCAAAGTTCGTCAGAAATGCACAAGCGTTATAATTTGAATAAATAGGTTTGCATGGCCTACACGTTGCTAAAAACTACTAGAAGTTTTTAAAGCCTCTCTCTGGGTACAATCTCTTCTTCTTATCGTTTAAAAGTCTGAAGAAGGGTGTAAGGCAAAATTCTGGGCTAAATTTTAGTAATCTTTTTCGTGCTACCTGGCGTACGTGAACTCATAAAATGTTTTACGATAGGGATTATTAAGTAGTTTTTTAGTTAAGAGTTTAATGTTACTTATTTCTAAAGAAAAACAGATATCATTGTGTTATTGTTGAGTGTAATGATGTTGATGTGTAGTGTGTCTGTTATGATGTTTTAAATGATGCTTATGGCTTTTATGGCTATTGTCTAAAAGTTGCCCTTTTATCTTTACGACAGGATAGGATTACAGTTAAGAATTTTAAATGTTAGAATGATTTCGTTAAAGATACCCCGTTTAAAATATTTCACTGCCTTTTATTCATCTATACTAATATTATAAAGCTGAAGAGTTTGTTTGTTTGTTTGTTTGAACGCGCTAATCTCAGAAACTACTGGTCCGATTTGAAAAATTCTTTCAGTGTTAGATAGTCCATTTATCGAGGAAGGCTATAGGCTATATATCATCATGCTAAGACCAATAGGAGCGGAGCACCAATGAAGAATGTTTCAAAAAGGGAGAAAATTTATTACTATTGAGAGACGCAGACGAAGTTGCGCGGGTCAGCTAGTATTTTTAAATACTGTGTTTAATTTATGAGGCGTTAACGATAAATATATCGGTCGAACCGTGTACATGACGGTCCACACCCTGACAGAATGCCTGACGTGGTTGGAGCAGAGGCGTGACCTCGTGACTGCCTTGCGAGTGGCAATTCTCTTGCTCGGTACCATGACTGCGGACATGGGCCACTAGAGGTGACAGGTGAAGCATCTTTCACCATAGCAGAAGCAGGCTGGGATGGCGGCACGACGCGCTACCCACTACCCTTTAGGGGGTAGAATGGGAACATCATAGTTCCCACACGAGGAGCTACTGGTACCCAAGACGGCGTGTGGTGTTTAGTTGGCTGGAGTCTGGTGGGTTTTTTTTAGTCTTGAGGCGATTGCGGATAAAGCCTAGGGATTCGAATGTCACACTAAGGTACAAAAAGATGTTCGGTGTTTTGAGACATGTGCGTGCACAACCGCTTGGGTTGCCTCTACAGCATTTATTTGCTCAAAATGACAAATGAAATATACACGCATACTTCGTTATATCGTATAAACTATTACATTATTATTACTGAACAAAAAAAAAATATCATGTGCTTATTCTCTAGTTATATGACTCGTGCTATATGGATCTATTTCGCTGTACCTGTACTAAATGGTATACCAAAGACGCGAGGCCCTTTTTTAATTATCCTCATAAAGCAAAGGGTCTTTAAGGACGGGTTAAGAGATAGCGCTTTCTCTTTCTAACTCATTTACCTGTCCTCTATAAATATGGTTGTAAATGAATATTTGTAATCAGTATTCCTCTGACTGTTAAACGGTGCGGTTGACTAGTTTTGAGAACCCTTTTAGTTTCTTCGATTTTTGTTAGTGTTGTGATTTTGTGTAGCTGGTAAGTACCATTCTTTTTTGGTTATAGTATTTAACTTATCTGTTTTAAATGTAACGCTTTACAACATATTTTTTTGTAAAACAATGTACTGAAAAACGAGTATATATTTAAAAAAAAAAAAAATTTAGAAGTAGGTATTTTGTAATTTAACGTATTTCTTGACAAATGTTTGAAAAAAATAAGGAAAAAATACGATTATGCGGCGATGCTATTAAATAAAAATGTTTGTCGAAAATTGTACATAATTAAATATCTGTTTGATAGAGAATAATTAAAAATGTAAAAAAGATACGTTGTGATCCATTTTAATTTAGTAAGAGCTTCAGAGAACAAACATTATTTGGTATAATGCGGCACTAACTATACACTAAATAAATAAATATAGTATAATATAGAAAATTAACACACAACAATGAACGTTATCATATATTACTCAAGATCTATTTCCCGCGAATTCGTAGAACCAAGTCAAAGTAGTTTAGCCAAAATTTAATCAATTAATTGAAATAACTAATAAGTCTTGCTTGCGATGTGATTTGCAAAGTTACTATTTTCAGCAAATTGAACTTCAAACGGAGCACAATCGGAAAGAAACTTACGTTTATGTTTTTATGTTATTTACAAAAAAAATAAAGTGGATATAACAGTAAAATTTCAGGGTTAGACGAAAGAAATACTTTAAATGACTTAATTTCTTAATATTTTTATGCGCATAACTAATTTTAAAAGTCATGATACATTGAAATCTGTTAAAATTTTATTCTTCGTCTCTAAATTGTTATCCCTACGAAGTAAGTGAATAACTGAAATCAGTTTACAAACCGAGAACAAACAAACACACACAGAAAACGAAAAGAAAGTTGGTCGCAGCGAGAGCCTCCTCTTTTTTGAGATCGGTTAAAATCTATAGCTCTTTATAAATATATTTTCATTAATTTTATTTAATAAATATCATTGCAGTATTATGTACAAATAACGTAAGCATGATCTGAAACATGGAAGTATTTACTTAGATGTTTTATTAACTTGGCTTCAAAACACAAGCGCGTGAACCCACAACCGCATGTGTGTGTTTTTTCATACAAACCCATCATTTGTTTATTCGTTACTGGTGATTTAACGAGATTTGTATTGTTTCAGATTACAATGGCAAACTTTCAAAACCACAACAATTTGAAGGTCCTGGTATCCACCCCTACTGTAACAGGTCAGTTGTTTACATCACAACAGACCCTTAGACACAGTTTGGTGCAATAGGGCACGTATGTGTTTCCAGGAAAGCTTCTTGCATTAATTTTCAAAATTTTGTTTGATCAGGACCAACACCTACTAGGGTGTTAACGACTTGCCTTGAGCAGTATGGGGTTTCGGAGTCGGCACCCGAAACGAACCGCCGCATGGAGGTGCTGCGCCTGTTGCAGCAACTTTTTAGGCGGTGGATCCTCCAATTATCCATCCTGCAAAATATGCCACGCAGCGCAGCGGAAAAAGTGGGTGGAAAAGTATACGCGTTCGGGTCACTTCAACTTCGGGTTAGTATATTAATCATAATTTTTATTAATTTACATCATTTTTATACATAATGTACATTAGAAAGGACACGACATAACAGAAATAAAAAGTGTGATTGTAATCACACTAGAACACTACACTGGTACCGTGAGTTCTGTGTTCGAACGCTACTGGAAATCATTTCAATATCATTGGCGTACAGGTAAATAGCTTGTGACACTCGTCCGCGAGTGATGATGAACATATTATATGGTATCATCACATTACATCAACAGCCTATACTAGTCCACTGCTGGACATAGGCCTCTCCTTAGAAAGGAGGTTTGGCCTACTATACCACGCTGGCCAGACGGGTTGGTACAGGGTTTGTTTCAAGTTTTCCTTCTCTTTGCAGTGCTGTTGTCCTGCTTAGTTTGCTCCCTTAGTCGGCTCTTACGACACCCACGGGATGAATTGGGGTGGTGACAATTTGTATTCTTAATCCGTCACCACACGGACGATTACTATTATATGGTATAGGTGTTCCTAATAGCATAGTGCGTATTTTATATCATTTACCTTTTCGACAGGTGCATGACAAGAACGCGGACGTGGACGCCCTGTGCGTGGCCCCGCGACACGTGAGCAGGGAGGCGTTCTTCACGTCTTTTCTGAGAGTCTTGTCGAGACAACCTCAGGTTTGTATTCTAAGTACAATATATAACAATAAACAAATTGTCCGTTTTGTCTCAGCATTATCCACTTGAAAATAATTATACCAAAGCAAGTCACCCGTTCTGTGCTGTCCCTTTTTCATTGTTGGTCTTAACAGTTATTGTCAACAAATTTGTGCAAAACTTACTTTTAAATGTCCAGGTCAAAGACTTGCAAGCAGTACAAAGTGCCTTTGTACCGCTGATCAAGCTCAAGATCGACGGGGTTGAAGTCGACCTTCTCTTTGCCAGATTGGCATTGAGGGAAGTGCCAGGTATGGTTGCTTTACTAACTCTATTCTGACAAGACAAATATTCTAATAGACCTTTTACTGGTTAGTGACCCTGACTGCTAAGCCAGAGGTTGTAGGTTGGATTCCCACCCAGGACAAATGTTGTGTTATGAACACTAACATTTGTTCTGTGTCTGGGTGTAATCTATACTAATATTATAAAGCTGAAGAGTTTGTTTGTTTGAACGCGCTAATCTCAGGAACTACTGGTCCGATTCGAAAAATTCTTTCAGTGTTAGATAGCCCATTTATCGAGGAAGGCTTTAGGCTATATATTATCACGCTAAGACCAATAGAAGTTATCTAACGCAACGTTCATGCGTATATTTGCATTTACAGAAAATCTTGAGCTACGCGACAACCTGTTGCTAAAGAACTTGGACGCGAGATGCGTCCGATCCTTAAATGGCTGTCGCGTAGGTGACGAATTGCTGCGGCTTGTGCCCAATGTTGGGACGTTCAGGACGACACTCCGGGCGATCAAGCTGTGGGCTAAACGTTAGTAATGTTCTTCATAATTGAAAAATTATTTAATGTTTGTTGTTTTTAACACGCAGGTTTGACATGTATACATCCATATTTACACAGAGCAATAATTATTCTAAAAGTACGTTAGAATTCGCTCTGTATGTATCTGCCTAAATTTTCAAAGTAAAACATATGTTAATTGTTTTATAACTTAACTTTGACCGCTAGGGCGCGGGGTCTACAGCAACATCCTGGGGTACCTGGGCGGTGTGTCGTGGGCGATCCTGGTGGCCCGCACGTGCCAACTGAATCCTAACGCGTCGCCAGAAACATTGGTGCACGAGTTCTTCGTATTATTCAGCCAGTGGAGGTGGCCAGAGCCAGTGCTGCTGAAACAGGCTGAATCAGAAGACCTAGGGTTACCTGTGTGGGATCCTAAAGTGAGCAAAATGATGTTTCTATATTTCAATTTATTTATAATGCTACATACGAACTATTGTTACAAGATTTTACTAGTCGCTTTGCCTAATAGCGTTGTAAGTATTAGGTTTAAGCTCTTGTCTGTACTTATTATATTAATCAAGTAGGTAGATCTTGCTTGTAAATTCAAATAAGTATTATAAATTGCAAAATGACTTCAGGACCTTAGATACCAAAGGCCACAGATATATTAGGTATGTTCATTGGTCACCTGAACGAGTACAGCTTTACACACAACAGTGCACTCAAAGTACACATTAACAAATTCGTACTGGACGCTCGAAACCCTATACAGCAGTTTTTTAACGAGGTGTTATGATGTAAAAGCCTTTTGTTTATAAGTAGTTTCTTTGTCTTCTTAGGTTTATACTACCTATTGTTATGCTTCTCTCACTATTCTGTATGTCGTGACTAATTTCTAACGTGTTTTATCACCAGAGGAACAGGTTGGATGGACACCACCTGATGCCGATCCTCACCCCGGCGTACCCACAGGCAAACTCAGCGTTTAATGTCAGCGCAACCACATTGAAAATTATAACGGAGCAACTTACAATTGGTTAGTATTAATATTTTTAATTTGTACAGCCGCTAAAACATGAGGCACTTATTTGGCGGGCAGTGAGCTCTGCGTTTCGAGGCGAAACAATTCTGCAGTTCTCGCAACTCCTGTCCGTTCACGGATATTGCTCAGATACGACTTCTTTTGTCATTATTAACATAATGATCTATTTAAGTAAGGTACATGGATGCATAAGTAAGAGCAGATGACAGCACCTATGTATCACGTATTGCTATCTTCAGTATTACAACTGCCAGGTGATGCAGTTAGTTACAGTGATACTTTTCGATATCACATCACATTAACAGCCTTTAATAGTCTAGTGCTGGACATCGCCCTCTCCTTTTTTCTTTTCGATATTCAAGAACCTATTTGATAGTACCCGTATAGACCAGTGAATAGAATATTTTGTCTTTATTTCTCTGACAGTGAAATTTACAGTGATGTATATCTTTTACGCAGGACTAACAGTTACAGAGGCAACAAGGGCGGGAAAATGTGGTTGGGAGCGACTGTTTGAAGCTCCCAACTTTTTCTCGCAATACACGCACTTCCTCGTTTTGATCGCCTCCTCTGCAACAGCCGATGACCAGCTCCAGTGGTGCGGGCTTGTCGAGAGCAAGATACGACATCTTATTAGTAAGTATTGACTATATACATATACAAAACATTACGTCCTTTTGAGTGCCTGATCGACTTAAGTCCTGTTATAGGCGATATAAAACAGTTCAGCTAAATCTATACTAATATTATAAAGCTGAAGAGTTTGTTTGTTTGTATGTTTGTTTGTTTGTTTGAACGCGCTAATCTCTGGAACTACTGGTCCGATTTGAAAAATTCTTTCAGTGTTAGATAGCCCATTTATCGAGGAAGGCTCTAGGCTATATATCATCACGTTAAGACCAATAGGAGCGGAGCACCAATGAAGAATGTTTCAAAAACGGAGAAAATTTATTACTATTGAGAGACGCAGACGAAGTTGCGCGGGTCAGCTAGTATGTCAATAAAAAGACATAAAGAGATAGAAATAAATATGTCAAACATAGCAATGCAACTCCCTACAGTAACCACTGCAGCAGTTATGTTGTCCTGTCTGTAGTTAGTAGTATACACAACGCAGTGAACAACCACTGATTTAGGACTTGGTGGAGTTCAGTGATTTTGCAGCATAACCTTCACACTTCTCATAATTTCAGTAGTTTACTTGAGTGCTAAAAAGTTTATTGTTTATTACAGTGGCCCTAGAAAAGAAGCCTTACATAACAATAGCGCATGTGAATCCAAAACGCTACAGCTCCGTGCCGCTGAACACAATCAATGGGCAGCCCCTCGCCTCGCTACCTGGTAAGCCTGTAGTATATATGCCTATACACATACATACACGGTACAAATAAACACACCCGAGTTGGTTGTAGGCGACCGAACATATCCTTTTTGAATTGTAATGTGTAGAACTGTTTTTATTGCGTTTGTGATCAAGGAAATCAATAAGATCAAGAACATCTGCCGTATTTATTAGTTTGCAGTTTCAAATTGATCGGTTGATTTTATCATTTAAAGTTTTTAATAAAGTTTTGGACGTTGGGAGGTTTTAGTATAGATCAATTTCTTGTTGACATCTGTATCGCACTCATTTTTAATAAAACTAGGAAAAAAATAGAAATATTTATTTCTTGAATGTGTTTTTGTTACAGGCTCTCCAACGCCAGCAGATCCTATGGCAGGCATTAGAAGAGATAGAAACGTAAGCTATTTCTAACTTTTGCTCGCGGCTCCGAACTGCGTTATTGTAGATTATATAAAACTGTAATTTACTTCTACACTTGTAATGCAATGGAGAACTCTTGGGTCAAATACTTGGTAGATATTATAGCGTATCTAGCCTCGCTTAATCTTTAGTCTATGCGACTTTTGGTTAATATACAACTTTATGTTTCAGGGTCGGCTTATGCCGAATAATTGCACAATGTGGTTTATCGGTCTGGCTTTTCAAAAGACAAACCTGAAAGTGAACTTAACGACAGAAATTGCACGTTTTACGCAAGAAGTACACAATCAAGGATATTATATGTTTCGCGAGGGGATGACTATTGAGGTAATTATACTTTGGTTAAATTGGTGGCGATGTTTCATATTGCATGAGGTAGGTAACCTGACCGACACCTGCGGTCCGACACCGCCGTGTTAGAAGGCAGCATATTCTAGCACTAGCCGTGTTACTTTAGTAACAATATTAATGTGTTTAAAGCTTACTTTTATAGTATTTTATCACTTTAGTTAAAATAATGTGTTGTGGTAACCTGACTTTATCAATTATTGGATCGTCATTTAATATCCGACTGATCAGTGTGTATGTTTGTTAGGCGCGGCACGTTCGACGCGAGGAGCTGCACCAGTACTTGCCTGGCTCGCTGCTGGAGCGGGAGCGCTCGGCTGCAGGGGTGCGCCGCAGAGCGCTGGACCCCGCGCCCGCGCCCCCACCATATAAGAAGCCCAAGCGCCTCTCCCACAGCAGCGTCAGTATTATAATATCTTAGATCACATACCATAGATGTTTGATTGAAGCTTAAAAAAATGGGACTGACAAAACTGTGCGTTCAGGCGTTTCGCGCCGGTGTACATCACAGAATAACTTTTTAGGTATTGACTGTCTCGGTGGTGCAGTGGTAGCGCATGTGACTGCTGTGCTGAGTTCTCGGGTTCGATTCCCGGGTCGGACCAAATGTTTATATGATCTGCAAATATTTGTTTCGGAGTTTGGGTATTTTCTACGTATAATTTGTATGTATTTACAAAAAAAAAAGTATCTATGTATTCTATCAGTCAATCTAGTTTTCAGTTGTGTGTCAGATGTCCCAAGTATTATTAATATTACTTTTTAGTGTTAGTAACAAATCGCTTTAGTTTTGCTAGAGAAGTTGGATCTATGAACTGGATTTGAATACTATTTGTTGGTTCTCCACCTCTTTATATAATGAATTTGACTTCAAACATATACGTCTGAAACTATGTGTTTAATTAAAAGTCAACTCACGAAAACAATTTGTTTCATATTGCAGTCTGACGCAACGAGCGTGTCCTACAGCGAGGACTCCAACTCTTCGAGCATAACTTGAGGGGTCAGACCCACGTCGACCGGCGTCATCATACATGGAACTAAGAAGTCACTGCGTTACTGTAACGTGTGAGCGCCACGTGACCGCAGAACTAGTGACTACCATGGATCAAACTTTTGGTTTGAAGTCAGTATCTCCATTTAACGATCATTATAACGATAATTATGACAAGAGATTCGTCTAACAAGCTGTTGAAACTGTTCAGTTTTTTGTGCATCACTCGTTGCACATAGACGTTAAGACCACTCCTACTTCTGTGTCCGTGGGAACAAGACTGTAAACGAGACAAGTTATGGATAGATGACGGAGCGAGGATAGTTTGGTTTATATTTCTATCTCATGGGTGGTTCCATTCGGTGACCTATCTACTCCACATCTAAGGGGTCAGGTCACCATGGGTGGTTGTCTGGTCGTGTTTCATAAACTTTATTTTCTCATTGTTCGTTATTTCTTTCAGTTTCTTAGTTAGAATTTATACTGTCAGGATTTCGGCGCTGAATAGTTATGGTCTGTACTGTTCCACTACTGGTCAAAACCCTTGAACCACACCTATTATAGCTGGACACCTATTATATCTGGCTCACTTCAAACCAGGTCTGGCAGTATGCGTCGAGGCCGCCCCTTAAAGCGCTTTTTGTCTTCTCCGTCAACAACTATTACTGCCCTGCAGGCGACTGTGGAGGACTGGAGCACAGTAGTCACCTTCTAAAGAGCTGTAATGCTCCAGAAAGAGATCACTGAATGGGGTTAAAACAGAGCTAATCTCAACTGTAGAAGACATCGGTGGATAGGGCCGCGGGCCGCGAGAGAGTGTGGATCTCTGATGGCAGATTGCAGTAGGGGATAGGGTGGTAGCCTGATTGCAATAAGACCGCCGACATAAGAACCGCCACGTCGTTATTGGAGCGATTGTCAGGAGGAAGTTTGCAGCCCCCGGGATAGCTGCTACGTTGGCACGGTATTGATTCAGGGAGGACCAGAAAAGTTTATGGTTCGGGTCCTCCCCAGAGTAGGAAGCCTGTGACCAACTGTCGGAGTAGTTTTAGTGGAAATACAACATACTCCGGACTCCTGTATCCCTAAGAAACCGGAGATCTAAAGGGATTATTTACCCGATCAACAAAAAGAAATTCGCTTTTTGTTTTTAGGCACCGGTTATTTGGTCGGTACACATCTGTCACTAGAACATCTATTTTACCAGTCTCAGTGAAACACGTGGGTTTCTTTACTCTGTTGTTTCTTTTTATAGCCAGTAAGTTGCACTCCAATAATCATTTATTATTTAATATTATTATATGACTTTTCACTTTGTAGCTATGTCAATATGTTGATGGCTTCGGTTTAGACCTACTTCATATAAGCCCTACCGTAAGACTAGTGTCATGTTCAGGTCTTGGAGCATTATATTTAGGTCTAGGACAAGAAAAGACAATATAATTGAAATTAAGAAGATATGTCAGTCTTCTGATGCCCTTCTTCTCCCATGAAGCAACCAGTGTTCTGAATACCTCAAGTATCCATTAGCATATATCAGTCCGCTCTTAGACATGAGCGTCTCTCAATTTGCGACATGGTGCGTAGTCCTCAGTTTTTCTCATCCAGTCCGTTCCAGCAACGTTACTCAGGTCGTCAGTTCATTTAGCGGTGGGTTTCTTACTTTCCTTTTTCCTTCCACGGTCTCCACTCTAAGACCCTTTTGTTACAATAGGCGTGTGGTGACGGATTAAGAATACAGAGTGTCACCACCCCTATTCATCCCGTGGGTGTCGTAAGAGGCGACTAAGGGAGAAAACTACGCAGGACAACAACACTGCAGAGAGAAGGAAAACTTGAAACAAACCCTATACCAACCCGTCTGGCCAGCGTGGTATAGTAGGCCAAAACCTCCTTTCTAAGGGGAGGCCTATGTCCAGCAGTGGACTATTAAAGGATGTTGATGATTGATGATTGATGAGGCATGGGTCCTTTGGCAGACATGGTAAGCCTAATTGCTCTTTGAGTTATGTCGGTAACTTTATTTCGTTGTTCGATAACTTTAATGCCAATTTTATCCCTAAATTGAATCCCAACAGCTCGCTGTGCGACTTTTATCTTGTAGACTAGCCCTACTGCTAGTGTTTACGCCTCGGCACCGTAAGTCGTAACGAGCAAGATACGCTCTTTTAGATTTCGACGTCAGTCGGGCACTTTTTAGTTTTTGAGGTATATGTTTATAAGTAGGTTGATGTATTTTCCACCTTCTGTTTCTTTCAGATTTCTGAATTTGCTGGCTCTTACGACACTGGATCGGAATACAGATTACTAATATTTGCAGTGCCTGTTTCTCGAATTTCACGTGTACTATGTTTATACAAACTCTTCATTTTCCTATTTCTTGTTTTATAGCACTTTACAGCCGTATTATTTCAGAAATTTTCGACTAGGATGGAACTAGAATTTTTGATTGTCGTTGGAATTCTTCAATCTTAAATCTATTCCGTTTTATTCTGCTGTTGTAATATATTGTTAAGTTATTAGTAAGGATTGTTAATTTATTTCTGTGATAGGTGTGTCATTTATAGTTATTGTTATTATGATAATTATTGTATTCTTTTAGTGTTCCACATTTATTTCTTTAACTTAAAATCAGGCGTTCACATGGCTCGTTACCATTCCCTAGGCCAAAGTGACCCTCAATATCTTTTTTCGACCGGCCTTACGTTAGTCATGTACCTACCGTATTTCAGACGCTTTGGTTAGCGGCACATGTCCTGTTGCAATCTTATAAAACTTCTCATTGTTTTTATCGGTAAGTTGCTTTCTTTCTTGTGTGTGTTAGGCCCTTAACTTTCAAAATGTAAATTTTTTAAAGTCTTTAAAAGTTGTACAACTCAACTAAACGCTTGTCTTACATAAAAGTCCCGACATTGTTCAGTTTGCTCTGGTGCTTCTATGGTTAGCCGACATCTCCCAGAGGTTATAAACATCGTTGTGTATCGACAAAGAAGTGGGCCGCAATAATTCGGCGACTCCATTAGACATGACGAATGGACAGACGAATAAGGCCTTTCCTCTTCCATTCAAGAGGATAGGTCTGGTTGAATAGCGATACTTTCTATTAGATTGTTTTATAACTTCGTCAGGTAGGAATCAATTTCACCTGCCTTCGTTTTCAGAAGCGAGATCTTAGCACCGGTATACAATTCCTATATGCACTTTAGATACCATTTATAGGACAATAACAACCCAGAATAACCCGCCACTTGTACAAGGATCTTGTTGTATATGACTTTAACTTTGATTCATAAGAATCTGTAACTAGATAGGTATACATATCGTATAAATTTCTATTTTAATGTGTACAATAAAGACCATATCTATCTGTTCAAAGATTTGTGTTGTCAATGAAAATAATGATAAACGAAATGATCACACCTAGTTATACCTAGCTAAAATAGCTGTTTATAATTTAGTTTTATGTTATATTTAACTTGTATATATTCAATCGAATAATAAATAAATGATTAAAAAGGAAATGAGTAATGTCTTTATTTTAGTTCATTTATCCTTTTTTTTAACCCTTGGACACCCATCTATCTATGGCTCTGTCTCAGTAGAATAGAAGCAGTAACAGCAACGGTTAAATATAACCTGTTTTGGTAGGTGACTGGTGGGTGACTTAGCCACCATTACGGCACGCCGGTTTTGAAATATTATAAAGTTTGAATATATCGGTTGTCGTTGGAAGCACTGCCGTATTAATGCTGCATTATCATGATGAGTCATTACAGTCAGTGTAATTCTAGTCACTAAAAATTAACTTAATCTTTCAATAGACAAGAGGTTTTTATAAATCAAATATCAAGATGAAACTCAAATTTATAGCATAGGTATAAGTGGCTGCTGTTTTCTTTTTATGTCAAAAGCGTGTCGAATCATTTATTCGACACGCTTTTGGCAATTAAGATCCAATAAATTATGCAGCAATACAAACGTCATTTGAAATATCTTCAAGTAGGTAACTAAGCCACAAACTATTGATAAATTATCGAGTAGACTCGGCTCAGTAGCATACGCAGGAAGAAAAATTCGAGAGTTGACTGATTTTGATACAGCACGACTTGTCTACTTCAGTTAGACTGCACGGATGGCGTAGTGGTTTAAGTGAGTGTTGTGGGTTCAAACCCCACATGGGACGACACTTTGTGTGATCCACAAATTGTTGTTCTGAGTCTGGGTGTCCTTTGTGTCCGTTTCATGTATGTTTGTAAAGTCCCCCGCGACAAAGGATTTATTCCTAATGCGGGCGTTGTCTTTTTTTAAAATAAGAAATAAGAAAATAAGTTATTTTCATAGCATAATGTCGTAAGTCGTAATGTTCTACTGTGGGGGAATGCTGCCGACATTCGAACTATTTTTGTATTGCAAAAGAGAGCGATTCGAGCACTGTATGATTTAGGCAAAAAGTGTATACATTCTATAAATACCAAAAAAAGAAATAAACTTGTAGTACTTGCCTCTAGGATACAAAAGATAATCAAGTCGTTTCGAGGTCAATGTGTCCGATTTTATAATAAAATGCCAAATCATATTCAAGACTTGAGTATTAACAAATTTATAATGTCTGTTAAACTTCAAAACGTCGAAATAACTTGAAACTTATCAAGGACCGATGACTATGTAATAATCTGATAAAATTTGGCCGATTGGTATTGGTTGTAGGTTCCGATTTCCGCATTTAGACTCAAGAGTGGTCCTGTATGACTCTAGAAGAGGTTGACTAGATGAGCCACCCAACCTCCTTCCAGAAGCACAAAAGCCTCCTGGGACGTTCATAGGCTTCTAGGAGCGATTTTGTACCAGGTATGGTACTTGCCCATTGTGTGGCCACTGCAAGATTACGTGGGCGGCCGTTTATTCTGCTTTTAGGCTTCTGGAAGAGGACGGTCCTCGGGTTGCAGGTGTCTATGGTCGGCGGTAGTTACTGTCAGGTGACCCATCTGCTCGTTCCCTCCAATACCATCAAAAAATGAAAGACAATGAATACGCATATTTGTAAAATATTTTATTACATAATTAACATGTCAATCACATAATTTGTAAATAATCAATTGAATTATTATCTATACAGCAATACAAAAAAAATTTAAGTGTCTGTTTGTAATGTCAAAAATATAAATATTTTCCTAAAAAGCAGTTTAAATATTTTTTGTCTGTCTGTCTGTTTGTTCCGGGTAATCTTCAAAACGGCTGGACGGATTTGGATAACATTTTACTACCAGGTACTGTCTATATAAGGCGTAACTTAAGCTATAAAATTTAGCCCGGTTCGGGAATCGAACCCACTAAGGCACCGCTTTCAAATTCCATGCGAACGAAGTCGCGAGCACCAATTACTATTATAAATCGATGTCCATCGCGGGCGCAGCATTGGATATCTAAAATGGAAAAAAACAATTTTAAGATTAGCAATTATTTGAAATGTTAAAAATATTATAGACCCTGATTGCTAGACCGGAGGTCGTGGATTCGATTCCCAATCAAGAAAAATTATAGTGTGATTTATCTATAACATATTTATATTTAGAGATATATAAGTTTGTTTACCTAGCATGGGATGACACTGCCGTGTCTGAGATTTGTGTAGTTGTTGTATTATCATATACTCGAATAGGCAAGGCTTGTTCTTATTTTTATTTCAATATAGATGTTTATTTAAATATAGGTTGTGTTAAAATTTCTAAAATTACAGTTACGCCTGCCAGACAACAGTAGAATGACACAAGTAACACTTAAAGACAAGAAAATTGCATTCAGTTTAGGGATGTTTAATATTTTTATAATTTTTAATTACAAAATCATCAGCAGCCTTTTGTAGTCCACTGCTGGACATAGGCCTCTCGTTAGAAAGGAGGTTTTGGCCTACTATACCACGCTGGCCAGACGGGTTGGTATAGGGTTTGTGTCAAGTTTTCTTCTCTTTGCAGTGCTGTTGTCCTGTGCAGTTTGCTCCCTTAGTCGGCTGTTACGACACCCACGGAATGAATAGAAATACAACATACTATACCGCTATATTATACGGTTTTTATAAAAGTACGTTAGTGGTAACATATCGAATTGCATACCAATATAATACTTTTTAAATTGTTATATCTACAGGCCATTTGAGTTAAGAAAATAGTGACGCATCGATCAAGCCCCGCCCCCTGACCAATCAGGTTTCAGGAAATTATTGTTTGGTACGAAAGTTTGACGTGGCTATATAGACTATGTAGAACGAATATCAAACAAACTTGAGCCTTATTTTTTCTAGATATGGTTGATTTTCAAGTGGTTATATATCAAACCAATATCAAACAAACTTGAGCCTTATTACCTCTGCTGATTTTCAAGTGGTTAGAAGATATAAACATAATGTATATATTACCCTACGTTCCTTCTTCATAGCTTGCAACTCCAGAATTTCGTTTTGTATGTCAACGCTTAAATCCTGTATAGGAACAGTTTCTGTCGGCCAGAACACGTTCTGGTGTTTCGACACGCGATTACGACGCTTGTGGGCTTTTAGGTGTACCTAGAAATATAAAAAGTACATTATCAAAAAAGTTGCCAACAAACATAGACAACTTGATGATAAGCCTTAAAACAAAGGTATTTCAATTTAGAACAATAAAAACGAGACCAAATTGTGCCAATCGCAATAGATCTTCAAGTCCATCATCGTCATCATCAACAACAGCCTTTAATAGTCCTCTGCTGGACATAGATCTGAAAGGAGGTTTTGGCTTACTATACCTACTGGTACTACTACTACTGGCCGCTGGTTAAACGAATTGTTATAGCGTTTGTATCGAGTTTTCCTTTGCTTTGCAGTGCTGTTGTCCTGCGTAGTTTGCTTCCTTAACCAGACTGCTGATAAACATACTTATATATTCCGGAATACATGCATATATTGTAGATATATACATCATACAATTACTTGTTCTGTGTGATAATCGAACCAACGACCTCCAGTTTAACAGTCAGGGTCACTAGGATTAGTGATTTTTTTCATACAGTTTGTCGTTAAAATCAAAATTTATTTTTCTTCAACATTTACAGTGTCTACAGGATCCCAAACGACACTATATGTGTATAATATTTATACATACCTTTCTAATATGTGTATTGACCATGGATTTGAGGTGGAACAGCGCTGGACAGAGTGGACAACGGCGTGTGGGCGCTGTGTGGGCGCATAGCGCGTGTTGGTTGCGGCGGTTACGGGACACGAACCCACGACCGCAGACCTGACGTTTACAATAGAATGGATCTTTTTTTTACAATTTAACAATTCCATAATCCGAAATATACATACTTTTTAGTTGTAAATAAATAATAATAATAATAACTTGACACATTATACATAGGGACTGCGCACCCGCAACTAGACAGAGCCTGTACCAGGGTAACCTGACTGATGACAAACATACTTATAATCTCTAAATTTACACATATTTTCAATAAATTACACCCACACACAATAAATGACCGTGCTCATCACACAATTATTTGTCCTGGGTGGGAATCGAACCCACGACCTTTGGTTTGTCAGTCAGGGTCACCCACCATTAAACCAATAGGCTAGTCAAATATTCATAAGACTTGAAAGCTTTTTTACCAAGTTATGGGCGATTTGCCGAGAAAACAGATGTGAGGATTGATCTTACTTACCTCGCAGCTATAAGGTCTCTCGTTGTTGTGTAGTCGTTGGTGCCACATGAGAGCTCGCTCGTCCACGAAGTACCTCTCACACGTGGGACACATGCACTTTTCTTTGTTCTCTTTCTGAGTTGGATCTGGTTTATCTTTCTTATTAGTGACCTCAGTTGTAGACCTGTTAACAATTGTAGTTAAATTTTTTAACGTAACAAGGAAATTACGTGTTAAAAACATTTATCTGTACTTTAATAACATTTATAATTTTTTTATATAGAATCAGTATCAAGTGATACGTTGTCCGGAAAGAAAATTGCGTGTTAATCAATTATTTTGTAGTATTTCCCTCCTACTACATACAGAAACTAAAAATCAAGTAAGATTTGATAAACACATTAACAAGGCAACATTTTTGCCATGTGCCAATCTTTCATACCTGACAGAATCGACATAACACGTCAATGTGCTACGTATTAAACCACGCGTCTATGAAATGTTACTTATAATAACTATTGCTTATTTCCAACTCTACTTCTACGGAAGCACTCAAGGGCCGACAACACACTTGTAAGAGCGGTTTCGCACTACATCCGATCCGAATCCGATCCGATCCCGTCAAGATACGGATCTAGTAATCTCTGGCTGAATTTGATTACCTTTTGCTGCTACTGCTTTTCGCACTGATTTCTGATCCGTGATTACAGATCTGGAAGACTTACTGACTGAATGAATTCGTATATTGTTTAAGAACTATTGCGATCTCTTTTTTTTAATCAAAACAATTCAGGGGTCACTTTTTAGCATACGTCTTGTTACGCGGAGCCACAGCAGAGCGTTTACGAGTCCTTTCGATCGGCGACAACTTCTGGCAATGCTATTGTTCGTACGAATGACTCAGAAGAAGTAAAGAATTCGTTCATACAAATAATAATATGGCTACGGGACGCTATGGAACGTCAATAATCTTGTCCGGTATGGAGATTCACAGAAAGGAATCGGATGACAGAAATCGGATCTAATAGTTCTACAACTACTTCGATCGGATTCTGATCGGACGTAGTGCGAAACCGCTCTAACTGTTGAGTAAGTGACTACCGCAGCTCATAGACACATGTTTGTCTATGAACCGTTTCTCCCCTATACTATAAAAAAAAACTTACTTGAGCATAGTGTTTTGCAGGTGAGCCTCATGTTTCTTGATATGCATCTCGAAGCTACCCTCGCCCTTGTACAGACGCCCGCAATAATAGCATGTATACTTCTTGTGATGTTTGCTGTCGTAATGTTCTCGGAGACTCTTCTCATCTTCCGTTATCACTCCGCATATTTCACAAATGTGGGCACCTTCAATCTGAAGACGAATTTAAAACTATTAAGTTTTTGTCTTCATCACTTTTCCTTAACAACGAGACTGTCTAAGATTGCATTAGTCAGAAGACATATTTAAAAAATAGTGTCATAATATATAATAAATATTTAATAAAGTCCCTTCCAGTAAATTAGTATAATCAAGATGATACAGATCAGATACACTCATAATTATCAAAATTAATTTAACTCTGATTCAAGCATACCTAAATTTAAAAATTAAAATAAATGTAAATTATTTAAAAATTAAGTAAGTATTAAGTAACTCACACTCTTCTTGTTAACTGGTTTTAGGTTTCATCATTACAGTCCAATCTATCACAACAATGTGGACCAATCTTTTTATTTTTAAAGACTAGCAATACATCAGGACTGTACCGACATACATGAAACGGGCACAAAGAACACCCAGACTCAGAACAACAATTTATGAATCACAAGTGCTGTCCAATGTGGAGATTGAACCTACAACACTCAGCGCAATAGGAAGCAGCTAGGTGACTGCTTAAACCATTACGCCATTCTTGCAATTATAAGTTCATAAACATACAAATTAGCATGTTTCTGATCCTTTCTCTAGATTTATCAAAATAATCCAGATCTATTTAGACATTTTGGAAATCCAAAATCTCTAGATTAGGGACTCATCAGTTACAATAAAATCCAAATCTTGATACATTTATACTCTAGTAAATACAATTGTCAACCGCGTGAGGTTGGCCACGGAGCCACTGTGGCACCTTTCTTAAGTGAAAAGCTTCCCGTGGGATTCACAAGAGTGATACTTGTCCATTGTGTAGCCTATCCCTAACACTTCAGGATAAAGTGGACAGCTGTTTCTTACTGTGTGCATAGAACACGAACACTGACTCACCTGACTAATGTTCTTCATCCTTTCATGCCACTTGAGATGGTTTATGATGGTGTCCCTCTTCTTGAACACAGTGTTACATATGGCACACTGGTGTACGTTAGTGTGAGTCCGCATATGGTTGTAGTACTCATGCTCATCCTCTGTTATAGCTTGGCAAATCTGACAATAAAAAAAAAGGAATTTAGTTGTGTTGCCTTCAATCGTAACTCATCTATTCATCCCGTGCATGTAATAACAGCCCACTAAGGAAGCAAACTCTGCAGGGGAATATCACTGCAACGAGAAGGAAAATTTGAAACAAACTACCAACCCGTTTGGACAGCGTGCTATGGTAGGCCAAAACCTAATTTTTAAGAAGAGTCCTATGTCCAGCACTGTACTATTAGAGGCTGTTGATGATAATGATGATTCGTAATTTAATTAGTTTCAGGTCAGAAGATTATGAAAAAGCATCTGAATATACTGATGATGGATGATGTGGCACTTTAAAGTCCACTCTTAGGGTTTTTGTATCAAATTTTATCATCAGTTTTTTATTATAATCCAGATTGAAATGATCCCTATGCCAAAGAACTAGGCCCAATGGTTCATTTTCACACTCATTGTGACAAGTCTATGTTTTTTCATGCTGTTGTGTCAATTACAAAATAAAAAATGTATGCATATATGCATGCTCTGCTATCAATGCAAACTAAGCGTTGGTTCTTCATGTGACATAAAATAATCATTATCTATACTAATATTATAAAGCTGAAGAGTTTGTTTGTTTGTTTGTTTGAACGCGCTAATCTCAGGAACTACTGGTCCGATTTAAAAAAATCTTTCAGTGTTAGATAGCCCATTTATCGAGGAAGGCTATAGGCTATATATCATCACGCTAAGACCAATAGGAGTGGAGCACCAATGAAGAATGTTTAAAAAACGGAGAAACTTTATTACTATTGAGAGACGCAGACGAAGTTGCGCGGGTCAGCTAGTATGTAATAATGAACATTGCACTAACCTTACAAATAAAGAGATCAATATTATGCTCCAATTTCATGTGTTCCTTCAATTTGGCAGCAAACCTATATTTAACAGGACATCTACTACATAGCTTATGTGTCATCGGTAGTCTTTTTCTTCTCACTTTACGAGCTTCAGTCTTTGGCATAACCGCTGAAGATAACTTCTTCGTAAAATTAATTTGCTCCTTATCATCAGGTAACACTAAAGTCCCATCTGGCTGTACCTTGTAAAATAGTGATTCACCATTTTCTTGGACAACCACAACAATATTATCATCTTCTTCTGTTTTGATATGTCTCATTGATCGATCTGCTTTTATTTTTGGTACATTACTCTCCATACTATGTTTGCCAATTTCTTGCATATTGAGTTCAAAGTTTTGTGTAACATTAAGTATGGTTGGAACAGATATACATAATGCATTGTTAGCAATGTCATCAGGTGAATTAATATATTGTAAGTTATGTGTGAGCTCATCTGTATAAAAGTTCAAGATTTCATTGGTGCGATTTGATAATAAATAGAATTTATGAGCGTTATACGCTGTTGTGAAGCAATTTGTGCACACATTATAGTTGTCTTCCTCTGAAAACTGATTAAATATTTAAAAGTAAATTTTCTGTCACTGTTTACTTCTTATAATAATCGGGTATTATTGTTAACATAACCTTAACTGGTGTTTTATGCTTTACCAAGGAAATTTTTCTTTTAAGAGGTTAAGATTAAAATAACTTGAGCAATTACCTTCATTTGGCAGATAGAATTCAGTACATCTGCCACACAAAACTCACTGTCCTCCTTACAAACTTTTGTCAAGATGTTCTCATAATTGTTATTTAGTTGTGACAAGCAAATAATGCATAAATTTTCGCCAAGAGTTCCATTAAATAAATGTTTTAAGACCAATTTCAAGTCCACGGTAGGTGCCATTTTTTTTGACGAACAGCGGAAGATCTCCTGAGAAGAAAACCATTGATAAAATTCATAATAACTAGTGATACAACTATTTCAAACCATCAATTTTAAAAAATTACCACATATGTATAATCACCTATGCAACTATTGATGCGTTCTGCAAATAGTAGTGTTCATGGAAAAAGATCCGTTCAAGTTTCTCTTTATTACGCCATTTTGATTTGATTAAACTAGTTCTTCTACAAGGATTAGTCGATTTCTTCTCAGATTTGCTTGCAATAAAACGACTCTTCGTTAATAAGTTTTTATAAGGGTAAAGAAATCTAAAGTTTTGTTTTCGCAAAGATAGCATATGTGTCCCTGCACTTAAACCAATAGATGAGTTTGGAGGTAACTTAGCTAGCTTGACAACCATGAATGACCATGTGTTTCCATGAATTCCATTATGGATCTGGAGACTATTTTACCAGACTATTTTAGAAAAGTTGGTTGCTGATGAAGCAATGCAAAGGGAACGGAAGAGGGTTGATATTTGATCTTCTTCTAGAACGAAAAGATGAATAGTGTAAAGCAAACTTCTCACACTGATCGCGCTGGCCTAAGGGTCATACATGGGTAGAGTTACTCTAGTAGAATTATTTCTGGCGACGAGCTAGCACAATTTTCGTAAAATTGTACCTAAAATAATGGCCGCATATTGTTGATTGGTAGGTCTGTCAGCACAATTAAATGAAATTTACTTCCTAAGTTTACACAGAGTTCGTCAACGATAGAAGCTTGAACAAACATGAGATAGAATATATAATATGTAGTTTTAGTGGGTTTTTCATACACTAGCGACCCACCCCAGCTTCGCACAGATGCAATATTGATACTTATGTGGTGTTAGTGTCGTGTGTGTGGTGTGTTAATTAATACTCGTCCCACCACAGTAGACCATCAGATACAGAGACCAAGACACTGGCGGTTAGGACTCCAAAGATAGGAACCTCCTCTCTATACGAGCCGGGTCAAGGAGAACTGCCTTGTGCATCACACCCTTGATCCAGCCGTCCAACGTGAGCCTCTTAAGGTATTGGTCGAGGATCTTGGCTATCAATCCGTGAGCGACATTCCACAAATTCCATTTTCTATCGACAATCTCGTGAGATAAATCAAAATGTTTTATTTATTTTTCAACTTTCACGAGATTCTCATCATGAGGAACGCCGATATCAACAATCATTGTGCGGCGCTCTAATCGATCTATCACTACAATATCAGGCTTCTTAGCAACAATAGTCCTGTCTGTGAAAATAGATCGATCCCAATATAACGTGAACTGACCATTCTCAAGAATTAGGTCGGGCACATACCTGTAGTATGGCACCCCTAGATTTACAAGTTGGTATTTAAGGGCAAGCTGTCGGTGTACGATCCTGGCTACTTAGTTGTGCCTTTGCAAATATTTACCCTTAGCGAGACGAGAACAACCAGAAATAATATTCCTGATTAATTCCCCATGACGGTGGCATGCCCAACAGATGTAACCGTACCATCTTTCAAGAAGATACTGTTATTCGTCATGAAAACTTCCATAATTGCACAAACAAAACCTACAGTTTCTCCAAAGAGATCACTATACCGTGGCCAAGTCGTTGATGCTTTTAAGTCTATATGGGACTTATTTAGGAAAACCCGATAAAACCGACCATGGAACTCTTTGCCCTTTCTTTTTTCCCTGCGATCATTGGTGCTAAGTACTAAAGGTTTGCGTCAATTCTCTTTAGTCAGAGCGAGTGGAGTGAATCCGGTTTCTACTGCAACTGCTGCTGCAACAGCAACATTGCGATGCACTCCTACATAAGTATGTAAAAATATTCTCTGAGATTGTATATCTCGCGATTGTGTAGGACCTTGATATTTAATGGTTTCGCGGGATATACAATCTCATAACCGCTGAACGTGGGTGGTGCATTCGGGATGCAGTCAGCACTGAACGGACTTTTCTGTCAAGGGCATCTAATTCGGTCTGAGTCCATCTAAGTGTACCAAAGGAATACATCAGAACCAGCACGACCCAACCATTACAGGCTCGCACCTTGTTGACCCCTGATAAAAGACTTTTAAGTACTTTTTTCCAGCGGCCAAAAAAGCGTTCCTGCAACGTTTGTTTCATGTCTGATTCTGGCATTCCCAACCACTGTGATATACCTAGATACTTGTAAGTGGCAGACCGAAATCTGAGCTCTGTTCCTTTAGATACTACTATCTCGCCTTCTTTTTAAACATGACTGCACATTTATCTACACCAAATACCATCTTGATAGAATTACTAAAGTTTTAATAACTATATAATATTTTAGTAACTATATAGTATTTTTACTATATATATATAATAATTTAGTGGGGCTAGCAGTTTCAAGTCATCCATATAAAGAAGATGAGATATAACTTGATCATCTTTCTGCAACCTGTAACCTGACCCTGAATCCTCTAATAGCTGAGAGGGTTCAAAGCCAGACGAAACAACAAGGGACTCAGACTATCACCTTGAAATATATCCCGCTCGATCTTTTTTTTTATATTATTATTATTTTGATCATACCACAGAATATCTTCAAATACAGTTTTCATAAGACAGTAAAAATATGTTTTCTTTAGATTTTAGAGGGCTGAGTGCAAGTTTATTTAACATCGACTCGCTCTTTAGCGTTGTGATTGGTGGAGATTTCAGTGCAGAAAAATTAAAATGGTAAAGTAGTTTCGGAGCCTTTTCATTACAGACAAACAAACAAAAAATCAAATCTTTCCTCTGTATAATAAAAAAATGGTTATTATAGCTCAAATTTAAATTCAAATTCAGTTCAACTATAATATTTAGATATACCTCCACCCGGACTTTTTTGTGCACATTGATGAGTTGCATGGAATTCGAATTCGAAAATCACCTAGAAATCTACCTTGAGAACATGTTTATATTTTCTAAACACTCTGTACATGATAAGGGCTTACAGTTTTCTGTGGTTTTAAAAATACAGATAAAAAAAACTAAACATTAATAGCTGTCACAGTTGCAGAATAAATCGCAACAAATTGCGAATGTGGTAGTGGAATGTTTAGATTTCTTTAATTTGTATTTAAGTCTAAAGTTTACACTATTCTAATGTATGCACAATAAACTATATTAAACGAAAAGTTAAGTGAATGTTCTTATCGGTTAAATTATTCAATATGTCGTAAGGAATGATAATCGCTTTTATATATTTTTCGGTAAATATAATCAGCGGTTGAATTAATTAACTATTCCCGCATCATATATGATGTTTAATAACTAGCGCTTGATGGTAATGAAGTAATACTTCGCCTAAACTGCGGTGGAAACAAGTAAAAATGAATACTAATTTGTTACCTTATGTTTTGAACATTTGCGAAAATTAATAAATGTATCAAGTAACATAAACAACATTGTATCGTTAGGTAAGTTTATTTTTAAAGTTTATATATCAGTTACGTCATTAAATTTATGTTAATTAAAGGAATAGATGCATGCAAGAAATATGATAAAATAAAACTTCAGAAATAAGTATCAATACCAATGATTTCATTAATATCACTCAAATAATTAATTTCAATCTTATTTGTATCTCATAAACCATTATATTTTTGGTATTAATATTACAAAAACTTTATAATTTATAGCAATGCCTAGTTCATTTGTTTGTACAATAAAACTGCATTAAACTAAATACACTTATATAGTGTTTATGAGTTATGCATTTAGTATTTTACCATATTAGTGTGTGACTAATTAAATTACATTTTGCGATATGCTCGTCTTATTGGCATAAGTAATGATGTTTTACATGCTCACCTGATTCTAGCAAACTACTGATAACATATTTTATGTGGATATCTCTAAATTTAACTTATATAAATTTTGGGACTAGAAACATGACCACTTTATCCACTCAGGGAAGGTGAAGTGGGGTCTGAGTAGGAGTAGTAGACAAGAGTAACAACTAAACTCCCATTAATGTTACTTCTTTGTTTCACTCACTCACTTTACGCCTAAATTAAAAAGAAATTAAACTAAATTAAACTAACTAAATTCTAAAGAAACCAGCACTGAACAGAGTGTTCAGTGCTGGTTTCTTTAGAATTTAAAATTAGAACACAAACGATGCAAGAAAATGGAATTAAAAGCCTACTAGAAGTGTCGATAGACAGCACTGTTGCAATCTCCACTGGCTATAAATGTGATTGTGAGTACCTCTATAAGGTGAACCTCAAAATTAAAAATCTTAAAATATCACCTACATTCCCACAGACTTCTTTTTTTTCTTGCATTTTGTTATCATAGAACCTATTCTTCTTCAGAATCGTTTGTGCATGTGTGTGCCTAGTTTATATGCATGCTGAGGCTTGGCAAATGTCCACAAGCCTTTACAAACGCTTGGATGCCATTTACACCATTGCAAGTGTGTTAGTGTGTTCCAGATAGCAAACATAGCAGATGTAGACATATGTTTATTTAAAATATAAACAGCAGCAGTAAACTAAACGAATAATTTTCTAGCCCTACTTCTCAAGTGAAGTCCTCAACCAGTAGAACATTGTGAGCACTGTTGAATCCCGGCTGCTCAACTTATAACAAACCGAGCAATTAGTGAAAAGGAATGCGCCAACATGTAAACGCAGCTTCCTTTTTTAAGTGTACAAAAACCGAGGCTAGTACCGATTGACGACAAGCTTATGCAAGCCGTGGCAAACACCCCGTTTACACGCTTGTGTTTGTGTCGAGGTGTTTGTGTGTGAGTTGTCGAGGTTTGCCAAAAGTGCCTATTACATTTAATTGCTTTAGTTATTGTAGTGTCTAATTACATTATAAGGATGTGAAATCTCCTTTGTTGGATTCCACCAAATAGGAGGGTCACAGATCCAAATGACCTTAGTATTGCATCAATGTATCCTTGTGTGAGATAGCTTGTGCAGTGGAGAAACAAAAACAAGAATATTATCCCCACCCCCTATATATACTATACGACCACAAGATACCTCCTGCGCGCTTGAAAAGCCAAAGAAGCTTTCTCAGATCAACTCACAATATTACGAGTAGTACTCCTCCACAACGGGCAAGAGAGCAATTGTGACTCCTAAGTTTCTGGCGTCTATTGGCGGCGGTAGTCACTGTGGAGGAACGGGTGTCGTGTTCCTCCAACGCAAAGGGAGGATCCTCCGACGAATTATTTAATACCGGTTTTCTGTGAGGCCATGGTATTTCTCCGGTCATTCCTGTTCATAGTGCTGGTTTTATACCTACCAGGAGTTTTATCCACAGCATAGCGACTGATTCACCAACCTCCAATACTGACAGCCCTTAACATTTATAGGAGAGTAAACAATCCCTCCCTCAGGGAGGCTCCATGCATAATACGCTATACTAAATACGGTACTAGTCTCTTTTTTAAGCAGGTGACTACTATTTTTCTCAGCGGATGGTTTTTTCGCAGCCCCTAAAAGATTCATTCGCTAACCGGTCGAAATTGTGGCGAACGGCGGTTCTCATCCATCGTCTCTAATTAAAATTACAGACTAAGTTTTTCAGATAGTTTTTTTTTACGCAAAAAATGCACCAATAATCAGGGATAATAATCTCTCAACTCTTATATTTCTACGAAACTAGTAAAGGCAGCAACAACTCCTTTATTCCATGTCTTATGGGGGATTTAGGTCTAGTTAATGTAGGGTAAAAGTGAATGTAGGACATGGTTTTGGCCACTTTCATCTCCAGCAATTTTGACGACGGTCAGAGGGCCTCGTGGTAAGGTTTGGTGGGAGGTTGGCTTTTGGGTTTCTCCCTCCCTGGGTTTTGAACGAGTTTCATCTTTGCTTGCCAGGAATTTGCCCAAAGTTAACGACCAAAAAAAAACTGTTATACACTGAGAAATTAAATGTAATTGGTGGGATGTTTAGCAGTTGGTGAGTCATTTATTAATGTTGCGTGCTATTGTACTCCTGTTCCTAATTGAAATAAATTCTATCAAAGGTCTAATTTACACAGAAAAACCGAGATCTCAAAAAATCACGGCGCATTCGTCAGTACCCTTCCGACATGCGAGCACGTTTATTTTGAAGTAAACTTTAAATTATCCCTACTACTTTTAAATATTCTCTACTAGCTACTGATCACGTTGTGGTGCCAAATAAATGAAATCGCGATTAAATAACCTACTCTCAAGACATTCTACCTACCAAATATACTACTATAGTTAGTCTAGTCGTTTTGGAGGTGTGCGCTAACAAACACCGTGACACGAGATATTTATCTATTGGATATAGCTATTTCTTCATAGTTGCATTTATATATTTCTTATCGCTTTATACCTTATCAACATGTCCTTCATAGTTACAAACCTTATCTGTGAGTTAACTTTATATTCCCAATTATCGGAAGCAATTGATGATCTCGTACTGAATATAGGACAAAGAATATTGAACACTATATTTTCACTTATTTTTTTGTTAACGTCAGTAAGGGCCAGCAAGCCGTTGGACCACTCCACCACCTAAATGTGGGGCTATAGCGGAGTGCCCTACACTGGGCCAGGAAGCCGTTGATCCAGCTCCACCACCTAGATCTGGCGGCTGGGCCCGGTGTGCCTCTACTAAAAGGTGTAAAAGCAACGCTTATCAAGACAAATAAATACTAATACAAGCGGAATAAAAGTAAACATCGCCCACCGTAAATCATATCCGTCTAGAGGTGCCATAACTTTTGAAGTGCGAAAAATCGAATATACATACAAACTGGATTATATTACTTTATACTATAGTCAAATAAATATATACGAATAAAACAAAGTGCATTTAAATTATATGTTACACAAAATATGTTAATTATAACACACTTGCTCGAGAGATACATCTATTTTATCCGATTAATTCAAAACACTGACCTATTGACGCTCATCGCGATTTTCAACAAGTACGTCAGGTGAAACAAAGTATTAAAAATGTTAACTACATGGCTCTAGCACCTCACCTATAGCTAATCGCCTGGTTCTACTGTTTGAGGCACGTATATCCTACGTAAATATGAACGTCTTAAAACGGGTGTCAAACGACACCGCTAGGTTATAATGGGTTAACTTCAATATAAGATGATATAGGTAATTTGATTAATTTATCTTGATTCTATCTAATGCTCATTTAAGTTAATTATATCTAAAAGCACATAATATTGTATTAAGATTAAACTTTTAAAACTAGCATAACCAAGCAGATCTCCCTCCTGATAGTGATGCGAACGACAGGGTCCATATTTGTTACCTATTTTTGAGCCTACCACCTGTAAATTTATCTACATTATGGAATGCAATAAATTGAATTTTTATGGAGATCCGTTGGAGAGTCCATAGAAAACCGGTCTTAAGCTATTTTTTCGTTGGTCTTCGCAGTTTTTAGTGGGACCACAGAACAAAGGATATTATTCCTTTTTCTATGAGTGTGACTATGTAATTGATCTAACTTATTCTGAATACCCCTCGTTCTTCAGCTGTATAACAACATCAAAGAAGTATATAAGATAAATAACTTACCAATAAACTAACCATGATTCTTATTTTAAAGAAGGCATAGGCACTGAAACTTAAACTGACGTACAGTTTAAGTTTCAGTTCTAGCTATTAGCAAATAGTCAAAATATTATTATTTTGTTACAGAATCAAACAATGGCAGGTACACAACTACACACGGAAAGCATGGACATCCCGGCTGAACCAATAAAACAAGAGGCAGATCATATTGATGATGAGGAAATACAATATGAAGTCAAATTTGAAACTCAGACTGAAGAAATGGATGGACAGGATGACGATAACCCATTCGAAAATGTTCAATTACAAGTCAAACAAGAAGAAATCTCTTTAACCATAGAGAGAGAAACTACTGACTCTCAAAGTGACGAAGCCGATGAAACCATAAATGATGAATATAATCCCAAAGATGATCAGTATATCACTATACCGAAGTTTGAAGCAGGCTGTGATGAGAAATCTGAAGTCAAAGAAGAAACAGTACTAGGTGATTCGCTAGTCACGTACGACTATCCTAGTTTTGAAGATGACGATCAGGATAATACTGATGATGATGATGACGGTGGTGGTGAACTTGATAGTAGCATGGATAGTAATGACGCTGCTGCACTGACCAGAGTTGAGGCTTGCTTGCAGGACGAGCTTGGAATAAAGAATGAAGACTGTATTCCAGAGGTAATTTTTTTGTTGTTTAGATCTAATCTAAAACCTTTCAGGCCTTAAGAATTCCATATTCATTTTTGACCAAAGTATCGATGGTAGTATATTTCTTAATTACACAGTAATACCACATGTTTTTATACACAAATATCTTGCAAGTTCGAACCCTCAGAATACGGATTCGGTTGTCGAGTTTTAATATTATTCAGGACTAAAATAATATGACATGTTTCATGATTCACGTTACGTGATTTGTCAAATGATACTTTTAATACACATGTCACAAATATTTTGGGTTTGATCTCGTTATAAGAAATCAAGTTTAAGAATCTCTCGTTTTAAGAATCTTTTAAATAAAAAAATGTTATACTTTACTTTCATTTCTATTCCATCTTTTTTCTTTTTTCTTTATCTTGTTTTCTGTTCATTGCCTTTTAGTATTGAATAACGGACGTACTGGCACACATCGAAACAATGTTGTGGTATATTTAATTATACCCTTGTATCTATCTGATAATTACTCGTAGAAAAGAGTGGCCATGAGTTTGTTTGCCCTTTCTTCTTATAAGGCTCAACCCATTGGAAACGGAGGGTTGTAAATCGGCACAGGCATATCATACAATTTCGATACGTATATCATATTTATTTTGCTAAATATTTGACAAAACAGAGATTGTTGCTATTGTATTGATCAATGACTTTAAGAGTCTACAAAAAGGACGATTTCAAACAATTTTAAATTTTATTATACATTAAAGATACTTTGAGTTGAGTTATAAACAGTAACTTAATCAATAACTCAAATTTTAAAAGATAATTTATAATTTGTAAAAGATCCGTTTAAAGTCCGTCAAAAACTAACGGATCTTTTTCACCCTCTGACATGCGCTTGCCTATGCGGATAGTTAGGTCATCTTAAAATATTGTGTCTATGACGCTATAGCATTTAGCTCTTTTTTTGTGAAACCAAGATCATTCATCCAAAAACAGATATTTGTATACATCCTTTTCTGACTCCCAAGATACTGGTTTCATGCCTAGTTTGGGAGTCAGTATCAGAAAAAATGTAATAGATAACCAAAGTCTGTATTTAACTATAATACTAATGTAAGTAACTTATGTGTCAATAAACAATTATTTATTTTATGTATCCCTGGCAAAATAAATGCAAAGAACAATGGCGAATTCGTAGTTGAGTATAATTTGACAGTCTTAAAATGTCATTCATAGAAAACTAGTTCTAGTAAATATCTACGTTTTTTGAAACTTTCGTCTAAGTCAGTGAAACCCCAGGAAAAGAAAGAAAAATATTATAAGCTTATTTGATTATTTTAATTTCCTTTATCAGTTTAGTGTTACCATTTTACAGACACTTTTTCAAGTAGTGGAAATACTGTCCAACGAAGTGTCGTAATATGGTAATCACTTAATGGTGGTAATCAGATAATAATTTTATAATTCTAAGTAATGATCAATAAAGAATGTAGTTCGTGGTGCATTATTAAACGCATTCTTTACGTATTTGAAAACCCTGTAGTGGAATGTAAGAAAGTAAAAAAAAAAAGTGGCAGCTACAAGCTGAAAAAATTAAGGTATTTTGACAACTCTTGACAGACGTTTGACTTGACAGATCGAGATCTGGTCTGTTCTGGAGTCCCTGTAGCGTTGCCAAGTAGATTGGCGATACATCCAAGTGATGAGATGTCTCTACAAAGCCGCCACCATGTCCGTCCAAGTACAGAATCAGCAAACAAGGCCCGTACCATTGCATCGAGGAGTGAGACAAGGGGACGTTATTTTCCCAAAATTGTTCACAAATGGAGGACATGTTCAAGACGCTGCACTGGAAAGATCGTGGCATCAAAATCAATGGCGAATACATCTCTCACTTGCGATTTGCAGACGACATCGTCATCATGGCAGAGACGTTGCAGGACCTACAGCAAATGTTGAATGACCTAGCTGACACCTCTGTACGCATCGGCCTACGGATGAACTTGAATAAAACCAAGGTGCGGTTCCGGTAGTACACGTTCGTTGAACATGTTCAACGAACGTGTACTACCGGAACCGATTGCGGTACACGGTGCCGTTCTCGAAGTTGTTCAAAATTATGTGTACCTCGGGCAGACATTGCAGTTAGGTAGAAACAACTTGGAGGACGAGGTGAACAGGTTTGGCAGCGTTTGGGAAGCTACGTCGAGTCTTCTCATCGTCGATCCCACAGTGCCTCAAGACGAAAGTCTTTAATGAGTTCCTTTCCGTCATGACATACGGAGCTGAAACGTGGACACTTACGGCACGGCTGGTCCACAAGTTCAAAGTCGCTCAACGTGCTATGGAAAGGGCTATGCTCGGCGTTTCTCTAAGGGATCGCATCAGAAATGAGGTGATGCGGCAGAGAACCAAAGTCACCGACATAGCCTACCGGATCAGCAAGCTGAAGTGGCAGTGGGCTGGCCATATTAGCCGCAGAACCGACAACCGTTGGGGAAAACGAGTTCTTGAGTGGGGACCGCGTCTCGGCAAACGTAGTGTAGGACGCCCACAGGCCAGGTGGAGTGACGATTTGCGCAAGATGGCTGGCAGGAGCTGGATGCGAGAAGCCCAAAATCGATATAAGTGGCGTGCAATGGGAGAGGCCTATGTCCAGCAGTGGACTGCGATAGGCTGATGATGACAGACGTTTGCGCTCTGTGTTTAAATATAAAGACTAAACGTTATTACATGTTGAAATAGGTAATAAATGAAGGAAAAGGAATATACTTATTAGATATTATATATGCAGATGTACATAATGATGATTATTTCATGCACCAGACACATTAAAAGTGACAGAAGAATATAACCTACGAAGGTTCTACAGCTAGTGTACAATAATAATTCTTTATCATCTTGTTTATTTCATTTAACTGCGTGTGCTACCGTTATAACTGTGGCACACACAGTCAAATCAAAAATATAATAAGTTAAATAAAATGCTGTTTCAAATAATGACAAACAATACAAAAACAAATTGATAAAATAAAGGAAAGATTATGCAGCTTTGTTATAAAAGACTCTTTTATCTGTGGACTATCTGGACTTTTAAAAATAAATCACAGATTAAAAAAAATGCAGTGCGTAGCTAAAACACTCATATGCTAATATCTTTTTTCCCAAACAAAAATTGTTTTACACATAGATTCTAAAAAAATAGCCGAATTTTTTTAATTTTTTTTTTTACTACAAGACGATGCAATTTCATTCCAAATATTTTTTTGTATGGAGACGCTATTGTTCTTTCAACGAACTGTAAAAATACAAATCAACAAACATTGACACTTTTATTTTCTTGTATTATTTATAATATTGTAACAATTACGGTTGTCCATATGAGCAAAAATGACACATAAGTTATCAATAAACTAAGAAATAAGTTATGCATCAACATTTTAATACAATATGAATTACTTTTATCCACCCATGATGTCTATAAGTTATATAGAGCCCACCAATTCCAGCAAAAGTGTAAAAAATTATTCAGTAGCTGTGCTGTGCTGTGTGCAAGTATTTCTACCGAATACATCAAATAGAATGATTGATACTAAGATTTTAGCACTTAAAGAAATATACTTTACTGAAAGCTAAGCAAATATAGAAACTGATACTTAGAGACATGGCGTCTCCTAAATTATTATTATCTAACGAACATTCAGCGCATGTCTTATAACCAAACTTCTTTTACAGGATGAACAAAAAGAAGAACACAAGCTGAACATCAAAGAGGAATCTGATGTAACAGTCACAGAAACACACTTGATATCAAACAAATTGATTAACACCACATCAACTGTCACGAATACATACGATGGCTTAATCGAATCACAAACTACGAAAACCCTTGTCATGGAAATACTACCCGTGACACATACAACGAATTTGCCGTTCTCAAAAATGTCCAACCCTGAAAAAATTCTGCCAACTACCTACGATAATGATGACGTATACCTAGATTATCAAGACTCTTTTCAGCTTAATTCCATCACCGGCAACGTTCTGTCCTTAGAGCAGGAGGCATACGGTCTCCTAAAAGCAAAGAGGAAAAAGAAAGACCCAGGGAAGCTGCATACATGTCCAAAATGTCCTAAAGCATATTCAAAGAAACACAGTTTGAAATTGCACTTAGATGTCCATGCTTCTATTGAAAAGAGGGCACTGGGTTTTATCAAAGGTCAGAAAACAAGAAAAGAAAATCGCAACATGAAGCTTAAAGAAGCCAAAAAGCAAGAAGAAAGGGTCAAAAAAGAAGGTTATGAATGTACTTGTGGCGAAATATTTCGGAGACGAAGTAGAATGGAAACGTGTCTTCGATCTCACAATATGTATATAGATACTAACTCGTATCCTTGTGTGACATGTAAGAAACAGTTTAAGAATAAAGAAGAATTAGCATTGCATCGTAAAAGGCTTCACAGAAAACGATTCCCTTGTAAATTCTGTCCCACAGACTATAATACTCGAAAGGAATTGTTCAAACACCTCCAAGTCCATCAGAAAGTACAGCTAATGGAGTATAAAGTTATTTCTGAAGTTGTCAAAGGTAACCAGAAATTGAAATGCTTTATGTGTTCTAAAACATTCAAGGAGATGCCAGACTTAAAGTCCCACGTAATGGATGATCACAAAGAACCATACAGTTGTCCGCGATGTAAAAAAACCTTCTCAAAAATCATCGACTTTGGCAACCACACTAAAACTTCTCATCCAGAGGTCGAAGGCCAATCCGTGTTAGACGTTCTCGAAGCTTTTTCCAAGTTAGTTAAAGCTTGGAAATGCGAAGAATGTGGTCTGCAATTCCATGAAGCAGATAAGCTGGCCTTGCATCAGGTAGAAAAACACAGTCCTGACGTGAAATCTGAGTCACAGTTCCAATGCACAGATTGTCGTAGAGTATTCATAAGTCAGAAGGGTCTTACGTCTCACAGAAGAGTCCATCATAGTACTGAAAGTTTAGTAGAGACAGAACCGGTCGACACAGGAGTCATGTGTTTAGAATGTCGAAAGATTTGCAAAGATATGAACGCCCTGCTTTCTCATATGCGATTCCATTCGCCAGATAGAAAGTATCCATGTAAATTCTGTGATTTTCGTTTTGCAACTCCTGAAAAGCGAAAAACTCACGCAGAAATCCATACCGGTGATATGAAGTACGTTTGCTTTATTTGTGAATATCAGTGCAGCTCTGAAAATCGCTTAAAACAACACAAAATATCCGTAAAACATTTAAATATGAAAGAGTTTTTATTGACTGGTAAACCTCTAATAGAAGAGGAACAGTCTACTTCTAAACAGGGGAAGATAAAAGACACTTCAAAGAAGAAAGAGTGGGTGGTTAAAAAGAAGAGAAAAAAGGAATCGACTGAGACTTCGGAGTGTAGTGAAGTGTCCTGTGATATCTGCGGGGATAAGTTCCCGAACGAAAGTGTAATGCTAGAACATAAACAAACTCATCCTTTTATCGAATTCCCAAACGAGGATACACCGAGTAGAATATTTTTTAAGTAATTCTTGCCTAATAATAGTTGTTGTTTCAATGTTACTGCAAATGACAACCTCGAAAATCACCCTTCGGCCGCCTACGAAACCAAGTTTCGAAACCAGATTCCAAATAAGAATAATATTTCCTCTTTCGAAACTCGTTTCGATAAAAGAATTAATTTCTTCGTTCGAAACTAGGGGCGAAGGGGAAAATTATATTTAAACTAAAAGTTTAATAAGTAGATCCTTATTTATATTTAACTTTATCAGTGCAACAAACACTTTCAAGTGCAAAAATGAAAAACTCGAAAATATGTTCACGACAGGTCGACTCGATAATTTACTAGTGATACGACGTCACATGCAGATAATATTTTTCTTTGGTATGCAACGAAATGATAATAAAAAAATGGAGCCGTCGCGGGACGTCTGGCAGAGGCAAAACATTGAATTGTTGTATACTGAGTGTGATATACTATCACAGCGTGGCGACACACATGCCCTAACGACGCGTCGCCATGCCAACAGCCGGTCTGAACCTCCACATTAGATGATTCTCATCAAAAATAATACAACCCTTGTTGTTTAAGATAATATGTAATGATCAAGAAATATATAAAATTTCTGATATCTGACATACATCGTCATCTAAAAAGAAAGAAAGAAACATTTATTTGCACAGAATTAGTTTCAACCTAAGTATTTAATCAGTCAATCTAGCCTTCATAGTACATGAAGACTAGATTGACTGATTGAATACTTATATACTTTTTAAAATTATGGTAAAGTAGCTTTCATCATCATCATCGACAGCCTATAGTAGTCCACTGCTGGACATAGGTCTCTCCTTAGAAGGGGGTGTGGCCCACTATACGACCCTGGCAAGACGGGCGGGGAGAAACAGCTTTCCTTCTCTTCGCAGTGCTGTTGGATGTGGTGACGGATTAAGAATATGGAGTGCCACCACCACCATTCATCCCGTTGGTGTCGTAAGAGTCGACTAAGGGAGCAAACTTTGCCGGACAACAGCACTGCAAAGAGAAATAAACTTGAAACAAATCCTATACCAACCCGTTTCACCAGTGTGATATAGTAGGCCAAAACCTTTCTAGAAATAGGTCTATGTCCAGCAGTGGACCTTTAAGGGCCGTTAATGATGATCTTACTCATCGTAACATTTACCTATAATTCATCATCATAACTTTTTTGCAGTTCCTTCGTTTCGTATTCTTAATCCGTCACCACACTAATGTAAGTAGTACGTAGATGACTAATACAAATTATATATGTACTCCATGTATTATTACAATTAAATCTCTGAACGGATTCTTGCAGTAACATTATTACAACGAACCCAAATTTAGATGTAAGTGTTTTCGCTAACAATGTGTTATTCTGTTCTTGTTGGGCATATATTTATTGGCAGGGTAATTTAAGGTGTCCCATTCGCCTGTGTTAAAACTAGTCTTAACTTTATAGTCTTACAGTTATTATCTGTCCACTAAGAAATGCATGTTGCTCGATATCTTTTAGTAATCAAATGTATTATTTACACAATGTTAGTTCACGCAGGATACGCGAAAGCGACCTTCAATCGGCTCCACTCGTCCGTGAGTATGTTTTTGTTGATTATATTGTAGTAATTGACACAAAACCTTTATAGGTTTCGAGAAAATTGCACCATTATGGTAGTATTAGTACCTATGGTGCTTTTCCGGCACGATAAATCGTAAAATATATTTAGTTTGGCTGCTCCAAAACAGATTTTTACTGACTATTTCTGAATATTTATTGCATACCTAAATAATTATACTCAAAAGGTTTGATATTGTAATAATTTTTGTTTTTTTTTTAAGTAGTATTTTTCTTTAAAATGACTTATTCCATTAAGCCTTAATGGCATCGGTATTTTTTTTGTGAGAATAAAAGACAAGTCATTAGTAATATATACTATGTCACGGGGGACTTGTACAAACATACGTGAAACGAACATAAAGTGTCGTCCCATGTGGGGATCAACCCACAACACTCAGCGTAGTAGCAACCGGCGTAGTGACCGCTTAAATCACACTTGAAATACACCTACATGGTTACAAAAGAATTGTTGTAATTTTGCCACGTAAAGCATAACTTTGGTAATAATCACAAAAGCATAAGGAAATGACAAAAGAAAATTATAAAAAAAAAAATATAATAGAGTTTTTGAGTCAGGAACCCTCGCGGGCTTCCCGGGAACACCCTCATAGTTTATAGGGACTCATAGTTCACTTTATAGGGACCGGTGACGCATTGAGTTAAATTAAAACTTTTACTGCCGAAACAGTACTAACACAGACATTACTTTTATAATTATTTTTAATTATAAAGGTACATCGCGTGACAAGCTTTAAAGGAACATGGTTCTTAGTGGATATGAAGTGTTGTACTGTGAAGCGATTATTGTCTGAAATCATATTGTTAATATAAGTAATAAAAACAATGGAAAATAATCAACAGGTTCTTGGACTTCATTCACTTCAATTTTGTTTGTTCTTTGTTGCACTAATAACAGATGTTTCACTTGTAAGTATAGCCTATAAATGTAATATTTTAATTAATACAGCTATTGGTATATACTATTTGTAATTAATTACAAAAATATAAATAAATGCTATTTATTAAAATTAGCTGTAATCGCTTCTCAGTTAAGGGTCGTTGCAAAACATTTGAATAATGGTTGTTTAAGTAAAAAAAAACTATTGTATTTTGAAAATTTAGTTTTAATACCATTTTGCTGTATAAGTTAATAACTAAGCTCACCCAATAGTCCAAGTCACTTAGGCCAAGGGCGTATCCCGTGGTGAGACAGGATGTAGCACTTGCTCCACATTGGATGCTGTAATTGGTGACCGAAAATTGTTTTTTTTTTCTGAAGTACCGGAATACATAATAATATTTGGTACTGATAAACTGAAAAACTCTGAAAGTCAAGTTTTAAATAGATTCAGCCATAAACCTTTTTGGCTTTTACAAAAAAAAACATATTATTTACAATGTATGTACTTCCCTTGTTTGCCCAACCCTAAAACAAATCCTGGCTCTGCCCAAAAGTCGAGTCGTAGTGATGAACTTGTACAAAAAAAAAACATTAACCAGTATATAGCAAAATGGTATTTTAACCAGTTTTATATTTAAGTTGCACAATGTCTTAAAGAGGTGGGTCTGTTACTCATTTTGTCGCCTAAATTTTGCAAATCTAGGCCTGAGTGAATCAATCAGATTACTACAGTTACTTTTTGATTATTGTGTTATAGAATTAGCTGCCCCCTACCTATGTTTATTAAAATCCCTCTCCATTAAAAATGAAACAAAGCTCTATAGGACGTCATGAAATCTTTAAGTTTAAAAAATCTAAGAATCAATACCAAAAGCCATTATACACTCGAGAACAATGATCCGGGTCACATAAAAATACCTTCAAATTTCGGATATTAAGAACGCGAACTTTACAAGACTAACTATTCCTTGTATTTTACTTGCTTTACACGCTCTCACTACCAAAAGGAAAACGTGTGATCTGATTGACTTTTTAATGTAAGTTGTTGTGTATTTCGGTGCCTGATGATTTTTTAGCTCAAAATATTTAGCTTGTAAGTGAATAAATATATTGTTTATTGAAGAAAAGTACTGTGTTTGGATCATCAACAGCCTTTAATAGTCCACTGCTGGACATAGGCCTCTCCTTAGAAAGAAGCTTTTGGCCTACTATACTGGCTGGCCAGACGGGTTGGTTTTAAGTAGGGTTTGTGTCAAGTTTTCCTTCTCTTTGCAGTGTTGTTGTCCTGCGTAGTTTGTTCCCTTAGTCTGCTCCTACGACACCCACGGTATAAATAGGGGTGGCGACATTCCTTATTCTTAATCCGTCACCACACGGAAATGTCATGGACTGTGTTTGGATATTGGACTTATTTCAAATGCAATTAAAAACTAGTAAGTTACTTCAAAGTTAACAAGAAAAATTAGGATAAGAGCCACCGCGCGTTTACGAATTTTAAATAGATAATAGTTTAGTCGCTATCGTCTGACGATCGTGATCAGACCATCTATCGATTTCAGTCCTGTAGTATAAGTAGTAATAGGCCTTTGTTCAGTAGTGGACGGTAAAAGGCTGAAGTAGTGGTATTAGTAGGGGAAAAGGAGGTAATGGGAGTCACTTAAGCAAGAATAAATATGAAAAACGAAACATGACATTAAAACTTTATGGAAATTAACTCTTATGGTTGTTTATTTATTGTACTGTCAGCCTTAGATAGTTTCGTTAGCTTTGAAATAACATATTCATAACTATTAAATTTGAAAAAAAATATATATCTATGACCACCATTGTCCACATTTGAGGGTAATTATTGATACTAAGAGGATTATGAGAGTCAGTCTAGATTAATAATTGTCGCATACGTAACCTGGCAAACCCCACCTTGTGTAGTTTGCATGTGCCCACAATCTGTGAGAAGTGCACCTTTGCCACAAATTAAAGTTGCGAAAGCCAAATTCAGCACATACTTAGTAATTAACGAAATTGTGGGCATCACCTATCTGATTAAGACGAATATCTAATTTTGGGGAATCCTTGGCAGCAAATATTTAACAGGTTCTTGTATCTTAGGGCTGCAGGCAAAATCGTGGGAAATCTGGTAACACTTCGGCATATTGATATGCTGTCCTACTTACTTGCTGTGATCCCTTAAAAAGCTTAAGATATTTATTTTATCCGGTCTTCTAGAACTTTTTCTATGAATGCAGGTCGACCTAGGTGTGGTTCCGAAAAATATTTTTTGTTATGACTGCTGTTTGAAACTTGAAAAGGATATATACATGGCTTTAGCAGCATCCCTCATAGAGTGGCCTTGACTCAGTTCTTCTGCTTTTGATAGTGTGATTAGACAATCGCTAAACCGGTGTGTGCGGCATCCCTAATTTGTGAAATATTGACACTAAACGAGTATTCGGAGGATCTCGAGCTGTCACCTAACGAATCTTTTAGGACA